AGAACAGTCCACATGGCCCTCCTGCTCTCCTCGGTGGTCCTGCTGGCTCAGCCACCAACCCCCGATCTCCCCCCCCGCCCCAAATCTAGGAGCGAGTACGCAGATCCTACCCGGTGGACAGCTTCGGATTATCCACGCCAGCCCGGAGGATTCTGGGAACTATTTTTGCATTGCCCAGAACAGCGCAGGCAGTGCTATCGGGAAAACACGGCTGGTGGTGCAAGGTGGGCCCAGGGAAGGGGGCTGAGGTGGACCCCGGCAAGCTAGGGGCACTGGCGTCCCGGGCAGGACACGTCCCTGCATCCTCCCCCGTGCCAGCCTGGCTTGTGCTCGAGAAGGAAGTGAGGGAAAAAAAACGCTTTCTCCCGTTTTGTGCCCAAGGTCTGCCTTTAGACAGTGCCTCGGGTCCCTCTGCCTCCTCTGACCTTTGCTGAGCCAGTGGTCTGGGCCTCCCTCACTCGTTCCGGCGCTCCGGCAACCATAGCCATTTCTGTCCCTTTAATCATTGTGTGCGCGCGCGTGTGTGTGCACTGGGATCACCCCGTCACAGCTTCACCAAACTCAGCAGTCCCCAAATGGTCCAGACCATGGGCCGTGGCCTGTGACAGGGTCGGTGGAGGAAGGGGCACGGGGCACGCCAACTGCCAAGGGCGCTGGAGCGGGGGCAGCCTGCCCTCACCCCCAAGCGGACCTCTCTCCCCCCACAGTCCCGCCCGTGATCAAGACCGGCCTCCCTGACCTGTCCACCACCGAAGGCTCCCACGTCCTCTTGCCCTGCTGGGCCAGCGGCAGTCCCGAGCCCACCATCACCTGGGAAAAAGATGGCCAGCCTGTGTCCGGGGCCGAGGGGAAGTTCACCATCCAGCCTTCTGGGGAGCTGCTGGTGAAGAACCTGGAGGTGTGGCTCCCTCCCTGTGTAGCACCGAGGGGTCTAATGGTAACTGCAGGAGCGGAAAACGCCAGCCGAGCACCCGTTTGTCATGCCCCGTGCTGAGCGCTATGCAGCTTTTAATCCCAGGAGTCTGGGGAAATAGGTACCATAATCCCCAAGTACAGATGAGGAAACTGAGGCTCAGAGCGTATCCAGTTTTTCCGAGGCACGCCGTTGCCGAGAGGCAGAACCCAAGATTCGAACCTGGACCTCAGTGGCTAATGCCTGAGGGAGAGAAGGAGCCCTGGATGGGGTGGGGTGGGGGATGGGACACAGAGATGACTTTGTGTCCCCAGACTGGTTGTTCTCAACCACACGTTGTTGTTGACCTGAGCCAGGGGCGTGGGTGGGAGCCCCGACCACCTTCTCCGACAGCACTCGGGTTCCACAGTTACAAATGGGCGCCTCTCCAGCCGGGGGCGGGGGGGGTGGCTGCTCAGGGCACACACCTGCTGCAGGGCAGGGTCACAAGGTCCTCGGACAGTGGTGAGTGAGCTAGCTGTGCCGGAGAGCGCCGTGGAACTTCTCAGAGCTTGGCTGAGCCCTCTGTACAAAGGGCACCAAACACAGGACCTCAGGGATGATGGGAGCATGGATGAGCTGGTGCGGGTGACCTTCGCGGAGTCTCATGAAGGCTGTAAGGGGGGCCATGGGGCGGTGGTGAAAGGGAGCCATTTACTGGAGCTGTGTGACCTTGAGCAAAGCACTTCACCTGTCTGGGCTGCACACTCCGAGGGGACCTCGGGAAGAATGGGTCCCTAGGAGCTGGGGGTGGGGGCAGTTCTCAGGCCGACCCCTCCTCTGCCCGCAGGGCCAGGATGCTGGAACCTACACGTGTGTGGCCGAGAACACGGTGGGCCGCGCCCACCACCGTGTTCATCTCACCATCCTGGCACTGCCCGTCTTCACCACCCTGCCCGGGGACCGCAGCCTACGCGTCGGGGACAGGCTGTGGCTTCGCTGTGCGGCCCGGGGCAGCCCGACCCCCCGCATCGGCTGGACCATCAACGACCGACCTGTCACGGGTCTGGGCCTATTGGGAGCGGGTGGTGGGGGTCTCCTGGGAGGAGGGCCGACAGGTGGGGAGACCCCGCCTAGTAGAGAGGAAGAGGGTGTCCGTCAGCCTGGTGGGTGCTGGGTCTCCAGACTTGGCCCTCTGCGGGGGGGCACCGAGCAAACACAGGTGTGGCCGTATGTGACCAGTCACATGTCAGACCTGACAAGAAGCCACCTGCAGAAAAGACTCAGCCCCAGAGACCTCAGGGCCCGGGAGGGAGCACGTGTCACACCCCAGCACTGCTGGGCCCCTCGGCAGACCCCTTTCCTGGTCCCCAGGTGATGTTGAGGGAGGCACGGGGCCCGCACAGGGCACAGGGTCTGGAGTGGGTGTTTGATGAATGTCTGCTGAACTGGCGAATGGCTGAGTCCCCTCCACCGCAAGATGATATTTTCAGGGGCGCCTGGCTGGCTCAGTCGGAGGAGCGTGTGACTCTTGATCTCAGGGATGTGAGCTCAAGCCCCTGGTTGGGCGTGGAGCCTACTTTTAAAAAATAAAAACAAAACTTTTTAAGATGGTGTTTTCAGACGCTCCTAAACCTGAGTCTGGGCGCGGAAGCTCGCCTCCGTGCACCTGTAAAGAAGGCTTCGCCCTGACCCCACCAGCTCCTGGGGTGGGCGTTTGGGGGAGTGATTCAGCCTCTCTGAGCCCAGCTGCCTCGTCTCAAAATGGAGATAAGAGGGGTGCTGAGGGCCAACTGGTTTAATGCAGGAAGTGCAGATTAATAGGCCCCCAAAGACCTACCCTCAGCCCCGCAGCAAGCTCACGGTGTGGACCTGAAAGTTGCAGGAGGCTGGTCCTTCAACCGCATCCTCTAACATGGCCTGGGCCTGACGTGGTCAGGCTTCCACCCTCGGGAAGAGACACCTGTTTTCTGTGTCTTTGTCAAACACCTGCTGGGTGCCCGGCCCGGGTTAAGTATTCGGGGCAGGAGGTCCCTGGCACCCTGGGCTCAGAACCCTCTGGGGCATCTCTTTTTCCACCAGAGGGGGTGTCTGAACAGGACGGGGGCAGCACGCTGCAGCGGGTGGCAGTCACCAGAGAGGACAGCGGGACCTACGTCTGCTGGGCCGAGAACAGAGTGGGCCGCGTGCAGGCCGTCAGCTTCGTCCATGTGAAGGGTAGGGCGTGAGCCGTGTGGATTTCTTGAGACCTCCACTAGACCCAATCTGTTGCTTTTTCTAAGAAATCGATCTCCTGGCCTCTGAACTAGTAACCCTCCACCCTGACTGTGGCTTGGGGTGCCCTGGGGGACTTTATAAAATGCTGAGGCCCAGGTGCCAGCCCTGACTCTCAAAACCAGCCTCCCTGGGGTGAGGCCCCAGCATCAGCATTGTTCTCGGCTCCCCAGATGACTGGGCCGCGGGTAGAATGAGATCTGACCCGCTGGCCTACACCGCCATCACCTGCACAGTGCCAGTGTAGAAGGAGGGCACGGGGACCAAGGTGTCCTGGCGGAAAAACGCCTGAAGCTGGCCAGCCTACCAGTCGTCCCCCAGGGCCCTGCTTGGTCAAGAGCAGCATGCTAACCCTCCGAGATGCCGTGACCTACTTTGCTTGATTTCAGGATGGGAGGGGTAGAGTGTGACGGAAGGGAACGAGCCACCCAAGGCACCGGGACACGGCCGCGGCTGGTTTCGATCTCAGGAAACCAGCAAGCATGGGAAACTGACACGGGGCATCCGAGAGTGGTTTAGGATTCGCTTGCACGAAGTGAGGATCAGGGACGTCTTAGTGTTGCTGTGTCCCAGTGGCTAGGTAGTCCTTATTTTCCAAGGTCCCCGGCAGGTACCCTGCAGCTGGGATAATCCATCCAGGCGGGCAAGCATATGACACTCCTCACACTGCCTGCCATTCCTGGGCCCGTCTCAGGCATCACCAATCGATCACGGCACTGTTCCCACTCGGTTTCAAATCGGCGTTCCCGGCAGTCTGTTTCGTTTGACCCGTGCCACGGAAGTTGTCTGCCATCGCTGATGGGGATCCCCTCTGGGGATGCTGGATGGGGATCCCCTCTGGGGATGGGCTTATGGGAGGCTGAGCCTTGAGGGCCTTTGTCTGACCTTTCTGACCTCTTGTCTGATGTCACCTCGAGCAGAAGCTCCTGTCCTGCAAGGGGAGGCCTTCTCCTACCTGGTGGAGCCCGTGGGGAGCAGCGTCCAGCTGGACTGCGTGGTCCGTGGAGCCCCTGCGCCCGACATCCGCTGGATCAAAGACGGCCTTCCGCTCCGGGGCAGCCGTCTCCGGCACCGGCTGCAGAACGGCTCGCTGACCATCCACAGGACAGAGGCAAGGCAGGACCTGGTGCCTCGGGGCGGGGCCACCCAGGACAACCGCAGCCTTTTGTGATGGCTTGGGAGGGTTCTTAGTGTTGGCCACCGTCCTCTACAGTCTGCAAAGCACTGTCCTGCCCACCTCCCAGATTCTCCACCCCAACAAACTAGAGTGCCCTCCAGCCAGTGGCTTTTCTCTGTGCCTCAGTCACCCCAGCCATTCAGCGGGGCTACTGGTTGTTTCTACCTTATAGGTTTACAGTAAGAAATCAGCGAGATGACCCACACCGGTATTCAAGAGTGACTGGCCCCCGGGTCATGCCAATAAATATTATTAACAGCCCCACGGGGCGGAGGAGACCAGTAAGAGTGCCCCATTTTACAGATAAAGACACTGAGGCTCAGAGAGGCCCACAACAGTTAAGTTCCCAAGGCAGGACCCCATCCCAGCTCTCCTGACCCCTAGCTCTCCTGACCCCTGCTCCGTGCTGTTTACAAAGCCTTGGGTCTCGGGCCAGACCCGTTCACCTCTCCTCCTGTGTCCCGGGTCCCGGTGATCATGCAGAAATCCACAATCCCGTCCTGTCAGGCTCTTCTTAGGGGCCCTCGATCTTGCCCGCTAAGGTGACCCGAGAGTCTACCACGGGCCAGGCACTGGCAGGTACTTTGGCTTCGACGAGCATGATTTCCTGTAATGCTTCCGCTGCTCTTAGCGGTTACGATCCGCATTTGGCGACGGGGAGATGATTCGCTCCAAAGACACGGCATACTGGTCACGAGTCGGGTGTGGTCAGCAGTGGAGCCAGGGTTCGGCCCCATCCCGATCTGACCCCCAAATCTCCACTCTTACCTGCATGCTGGGCTGTCCCGGCAGTCCTCTTGGGTGCAGCATCCAGGCCGTCACCTCCTGGGTGTAGACGGCGGCCTCAGCCCGTCCCCCAGCTGCCGTTCAGAGGTGAAGCCGAGCCTTGTTCTTCCTGAGTTTCCCCGGTGGCCAGGGTGGTGCGTGCCCCGTGGGAAAAGCTTCCCTCTCACTGAGCCAGGAAAACACTGCAAACCATCTCCCTTCTGGAAGGCTCGCTGCACGCTCCAGCACCATAAGAGCCCCGAGGAATCCTGCGGCCAGAAGCGGGTTGTCGTCTCGACTCCGTGTTTCCCAGACTTGCTTCACCACAGACCCCTGGTTTTCAAGGAATCCCCAGGAACGTGCCATGGAGTGATGGTCCTTCACTGTGCGCGGTCCCCTTCCTCCTGCTCCCCTGAACACCTGCTCTCCCCGCCCCCCCCACCTGCAGATGGACGACGCGGGTCGGTACCAGTGCCTGGGGGAGAATGAGATGGGCGCAGTGGAGAAAGTGGTGACCCTCGTGCTGCAGAGTGAGTCTCGGCCTCCCCCTCCCCCTCCCCTGGGCCCCGGTGGGGGGGGACAGTGCAGAGTGGGCGCCCGGCACGTGTCCCCGGCTGTCTGACAAGAATGGAGGGCAGAGGGGCACCTGGCCGGCTCAGTCAGTTAAGCGTCCGGCTGTATAGATTTTAGCTCAGGTCACGATCTCACCGTTTGTGGGTTCGAGCCCCGCGGCTGTCTCTGTGCTGATAGCACAGAGCCTGCTTGGGATTCTCTCTCCGTCTCTCTCAGCCTCTCCCCTGCTCACACAGCTCTTTCAAAATGAATAAACAAACTTAAAAAAGGCAGGGCTAGGGACTTGGAGCTCTCTTACAAGTATTTACTCAGAAAACACAATTGAAGTCCTATGAGATGGCTCCCCAGTTGGGGAATGGGGAGCGGGGTGAGGGCTAATGAATAGCCAGGGACCCAATAGCCAGGCCCCGGGGGGACCCATTTATTCAAACTCACAACCATCAACAAGATTGCAGGGACAGCTCTTGCGTTTGCCAAGTAGCTTGCAGATTACAAAGCACTGTCTCAGCCTCGAAGTAATGCTGTGAAACCGCCTAGAGGTGTTTAATAAAACTTTTTCCTGAAGATTAACATACATAGGGACAATACATGTTAGAAGGGAACAGTTCAATGAATGTTTATTATGTGAACCTACCGAGTTGACCCAGGGCAAAAATAGAAAAACAGAATACTGCCAGCTTCCAGACACTTCCATCTGTACCCCCTTTCCAGTCAATGCCCTGCCCCAGGTAACTTACCCTGTCCGGAGTTTTGCTTTTTTTTTTGAGAGGGGGGAGAAAGAACGCCTGTGCGAGAGCGGGGGAGGGACGGGGGGAGGGGGGAGAGGGAACCGTAAGCAGGTTCCATACTGTCAGCACAGAGCCCGACACAGGGCTCCATCCCACGAACCGTGAGATCATGACCTGAGCCGAAATCGAGAGTCAGGTGCTTCACCGACTAAGCCACCCAGGCGCCCCCAGGGTTTGCCTTTAAAAGAAATAACAGCTTGGGCTGCCTGGCTGGCTCAGTCAACAGAGCCTGCAACGCTTGATCTTGGGGCTGTGAGTTCGAGCCCCATGTTGGGCATAGAGATTGCTTTAAAGCAAAAACAAAAAACAGTTTTGTCAATATATACACTGCAAAATTCACCCATTCGTACCCTGGAATGTTATTCACCCTTTATTTTTTTTTAAATGTTTATTTATTTATTTATTAAGTTTATTTTTATTTATTTTTGAGACAGAGAGAGACAGAGCATGAACAGGGGAGGGTCAGAGAGAGAGGGAGACACAGAATCGGAAGCAGGCTCCAGGCTCTGAGCCATCAGCCCAGAGCCCGATGCAGGGCTCGAACTCACGGACCACGAGATCATGACCTGAGCCGAAGTCGGACGCTTAACCGACTGAGCCACCCAGGCGCCCCTGTTAGTCACCCTTTAAAAAGAAGGAAATTCTGACACCTGGTGCATGAACGAAACTTGAGGTCGTCAGGGGAAGGAGGGCAGTCACAAAAAGACAAACGCTGTGTGATTCCAGTTCTGTGAGGTGACCAGAGTTGTCAAATGCGTAGAAACGAAAAGCAGAATGGCGGCGGCCGGCGGGGCGGGGGTCGGTGGCAATGGGGAGACGTGGTTGAATGGATCTAGAGTTTCAATTTTCCAAGACGAAAGGGTCCTGGAAATGGACGGCGGTGATGTGAATGTACTCCACGGTACTGAACTGTACAACTTAAAAAATGGTTAAATGGGGGTGCCTGGGTGGCTCAGTCCGTTAAGCGTCTGACTCTTGATTTCTGCTCAGGTCACCATCTCACGGTTTGGGAGTTCGAGCCGTACGTTGGGCTCTGCACTGACAGTGCAGAACCTGCTTGGGATTCTGTCTCTCTCTCTCTCTCTTCCCCTCCCCTGCGCGTGTTCTCTCTCTCTCTCCCAAAATAAATAAATACACATTTTTTTAAAATCTTAAGAAATGGTAGCTATGAAGAAGAAACGAAGGGAAGTCTTAGGACTCAACTCCCATAAAATGAAAACCTCAGTGGATGGGTGTGAACAGGTATGAACAGGACAGAAGGAAGAATTAGTGACTTGTAGACGTAACAATAGAATTCGCCTAGTCGGAACCGCAGAGAGAGAACGGACTCGAGCAGGACAACCAGAAGAGCCTCAGAGCCAGTGTGGGACGAAGCCAAGATCTGACATCGTGGCATTAGGGTCCCGGAAGGAAAGGAGGAAGGGGTGAGAAAACACCCAGAGACGCCAGAGCCGAAAAGTTGTCACAAAAGACGTAAGGCTACAAAATTCGAGCAAAACGCAAACAGGATAAACCCAGAGAAGCTCTGCACCAAGACGTACCCCGGTCAAACTTGCTAACGGTTAAAGGGCCAAGAAACTAAGGCCTCGCCCCCCCACCCCCCATCCAAGCATCTGGCTGAGTCAGAGTTGGGGCAGGTGTTGAGGGGACCTCGGCTTTGACTCCTCCTGGCCCACCCCCGCCCAGATCCCCGCACAGGTGCACGCTGTCCACAGCAGCCAGGGATGTGTGGAGACCCCGTCTGGCCTTTCCAGGGCTCCCTCGTTTCCAGGTTCTTCTCGTTAAGCTTCCGGCTGGTCCCCTGGTCTCCGCAAGCCAGCAGAGGCGTCAGTTCCCTATTTGCTTCCTGTCGCTTCTGCCCCTCCCCCCACAAAACCCCTGCATCGTCTCCTCCCGCAAATCGGATCGGGCCCCTTGTGATAGCAAAAGCTGGGGTCTCACGGCCAGCCCCGCCCCCAGCTCAAGAGTAGGGGTGACGGATGGGAGCAGGCCCAGGCCACACGCCTCCACTGTCCTCGCCCAAAGTTCTGGAAGCTTTTCGTGGGCCAGTGATTCGCAATTTGTGGCTTGCCTTCCATTGACTTCTAGAGCCCTGAAATAGTTGGCTTGGATAATTCTGTCAAGTTGTGCATTTGCTGACCTCTTCACGCGGCCACGGCCAGCTCTTGCTTATTTTTTTGACCATTGTTGCAACGAAACCCTATCGCGTGCGCTCTCGTGTCCGGCTTCTTGCGCACAGCGCCGCGTGAGCCCGCACGCGGAAGTGGCTCACCCCGTCGTCCCCGTTGCGGTATGGCTCGCCACTGTGCGGACATGTCACGGTTTGTATGGTTCCCCTCCACTTGGGGGCAGTTACGGACGGCGCTGCTTCGGCAGGTGATGCGTGCCTTTGGCGGTCACGCAGGCACCTTTCCGTTCGGGTGTCCGTCCGAGAGTGGCCGGGCCACACGATAGGCATGTGCTCGGCGTTAGGAGACATTGGCCGTGGGAGGCTGACAAGCGGCCCCCCCCCCCGACATTCGAGCGACCGTGTCCTCGCCTCCCAGGCGAGAACGTGGTCTTATTTGGAGAAGGGATCTTTGCAGACATGATTACGTTCGGGGGTTTAAGACGGAAAGGGATTTCTTGGATCAGAATGCTACGGTTTGGGACGCGTGGAGAAGCCAAAATGCTATCACGAGTGTCTTCTTTCCAGCCGTTTCGGAGGGTCTGTGGTAGCAGGTGGACAGGGTAGCAGGTGGACGGCAGTCTCTCAGACGAGAAAACGGAGGGCCAGGGAGAGACTTGGTGAGACTCACCCACGGTCGGTGACGGGGCCCCCGTCTCCCATCTGGCATCGTTAGAAGCATCCCCGTGAGGGACCCAAACGAAAGGAGGCACTTAAAACAAGTATCTCATGGCATGGAAAGGTAGTTAGGATTTATTGTGGGGTGAAAAAGGAAGGAAGGAAGCAGCTATGAGCAATGCAGTCATGTTCTACAGAAACGGTGTCTGGAAGGGCATACTCAGAACGGTGATGGGATGTGATGCTCACTTGTGATTCTGTTTTCTCCTTTCTACCTCTGCATTTTCTAAGCCGTCTGAATGAACAAACAGCAGCTGAACATACGAAAATAACCAAACGTTCCTAACAGCTGCCCTGGGCTTCCCACAGGCGCCCCGGTGTTCCGGGTGGAGCCCCGGGACGTGACGGCGAGATCTGGGGACGATGTGGCCCTACAGTGTCAGGCCTCGGGAGAGCCGGTGCCCACCGTGGAGTGGCTGCGTGCGGGCCAGCCCGTGCGGGCCGGCCGGCGGCTCCAGACCCTGCCCGACGGGGGCCTGTGGCTGCAGCGAGTGGAAGCCCAGGACGCGGGCATCTACGAGTGCGTCGCTCACAACCTTCTGGGCTCTGCCACGGCCCGAGCGGTCCTGGCTGTGAGAGGTACGGGGTGTCCCCGCTCAGACCTTTGTGGACAGAGGCGGGATCTCCCGCTTCGTGGGGGGGACGTGGCCCCCTGTCCTGCCAGCACCACCCCCCCCCCGACTCTTTCCTTCGCTTAGAATCACAGACTTAGGAGGAAAAAGGCCTTTGGGGGTCATCTTACCCACCCTGCCCTTTACAGCTGGGGAAACTGAGGCTCTGAGATGCTAAGTGTTTGCCGCTCGTATCGGCACAGTGTCCTCTCTCTCTGGATATTCCACAGCGCTGTGAAGTGGGCAGAATAAAACCAGGTGCCCTGGTGGGGTTGCTGGGAAAAGTCTGTGACTTAGGCCATGGTGGGTGGACAGTGACGGATGCTGCTTTCTCGCATTACGACACCTGCCACCCCCCCCACCCTGGGCCTCGCCGTTCAGCTCCCTCCTCCCTGGGGCCAAACTTCAAAACAGAGAAAAGGACTATTTTGAGGAACCACCGTGAAACGACTCCGACCGCACCGCGGATAGTCACTGAGTCTCATTTCTGAAAGTTAATAGTGTCTCTGTAGCAAATACACCGTATTTGTGGCTTTGGATTTCTGTCCCTGGCCGTGACAGCCATCACTGATCTATCACCGCCCCCAAAGCCAGATTACTTCCTCGCTGCTCCAGAGGGCACCTTTCCAGCCCCGGAGCGGGGTCTCGACACTTTGCCGCTTGCAAACCCACTTGAACCCCACCGCCAGCCAACTGTGGGACCCTCTGTGGCCCCTGGTTGCCTCATCTCCTGCGGACAGGGACAGAACACCAATGCACACGGCTCCAGAAATTCAGCGGTTCTCTGACGCCCGGCCACACGCGCTGCCTCGGGTCTGAGCGGTTCCTCCCTTTAGTTCAGAGCTGGGTCCCGTCCTTACCCTCTCCTGTTGGAAAGCTCACGCCCCAAACCACAGCGCTCTGCACATGGCTTCTGGTTGAGTATCTCAGGGCCGCCATAGCAAAGTGCTATGCTATGAGCCATCAGCACAGAGCCCGATGCAGGGCTTGAACCCACGAACTGTGAGATCCTGAGCTCAGCTGAAGTTCGACTCCCAACCAACTGAGCCACCCAGGCGCCCCACAAATGGCTTTGTTAAATAAGCAACGGGCTTGGGTTTTGTTTTTATTTTTTCCCAGTCCCCCCACCCTCCTCCCTGAAAACTACCCTGTGGCGTGCCCCTGTCCACTGGCCTGAATATTTCTACGGGCTGAGTTCTTCCAACAGGGCATTGCTAGGTAAAAGGCATTCAGAGGTTTCAAAGGCTCCCTCACTCTGAGTGCTGTCTTCTCTTCCTCGTTTCCCATCAGCCTGGGTGGCGCCCAGCCTGGCCTCGTGGGAAGCAAGAGGCCTGCTGAGTCATCCCATGTCTGAGAAAGTTGACAGTGGCTCGTCATTCCCGGCCTCCAATTTCTTGTCCTCCTCGAAAGCTGCCGGGCCATTCTGCTACTGCTTATCTGCACCCCAGCTTCTTCCTCCTCCCCTTGTTGAGAAGCCAGGGGGTAGGTTCATGGCCGGTTCCTGTCCCCCCATAAACCCCAGAGCCACAGATATTGATGAGACATCCCAGATGGGCATCAGATCTCATCAAGCCCCAGCTCTGGACTGGGTAAATGACACTGCTTCCCGGAATCCAAAATTAACCAGCCCCCTGATTTGCCCATAAGGACCCTGGCCGTTGAGTGTTTTATGTTATTTTTTCGACAGATCATGGGCAATTGGTTGTTAATTTCCCCAGAGAGCTGGTGGGGGGGAGAGGCAGGCCAGCTTCTGTCTCTCAGCCCCCAGGATGCCATCTGTGCAGACAGGACAGCTGGCCCATTAGCCGGAGGAAGCACCCTCTGTGCCCCCACCATCCGTCTGATTAGTCCTGAAAAGCGTGGGTGCTTGCAGACCCGCCTGGCTGCTGTAAGAGATCCGGCCCACCCCGGCCAAACCAGCCACAGGGCGGAGGGCGCCAAGGCCACTGACGGAATGGGGGACGTTCAGGTGGTGGCATGCTGTCCCTGGCCTGGTGCCCCGGCTCCCCCAGCATGCCGACCCCGCCCTCATGAGCAGCTGGCATTTTAGAACCCAACAGGTCTCTGGCACATCTGTGGTCCCACCTCCTCGCTCAAGTGCGTCTTGGGGGCCCGACTTGCCCAGATTTCCAGGGAGGTGACAGCAGAGCCACTGTTCGAAGCTAGCCCCGTGCCAGTGCAGGTCTGCTCTGAAAAGCCTCCCTGTCTCTCAGAGAGAGCCAGGACCCCCCGGGCATCGAGTCCGTCACCCATGAGCTGTGTGGCCTTGGGCGAGCCACCTGAGCTCTCTGAGCCTCCGTTCCTGTTCCCTGAAGTGGGTGACAGTACCTGCTCATGCTGAGGGCGTGGAGGTGGATAAAGTCGCTGCCGTCCCCTTCCCTCCTCACAGGGGAGCCCCGTGGGAGCCGGGGCGGCGTATCCGGGGTGATCAACGGCCAGGAATTTGGCATGGCCACCCTCAACACCAGCGTGCGCCAGGAGGCACGTTCTGGGGTCACCACCATCTGGAGCGGCATCAGCCACATCCCTGCGAGCGTGGGTAAGCGGGGGCCAGAGCCTCTTCCTGCACCGGGGCCCCTCCGACTCCAGGCGGAAGCAAAGCGTGTGTTCTGAGGTTTGCCCAGGGCCCGACTGCCGGAGGAAAACTCTGACCGCCCCTGAGACCCGAGTCGAAACCAAAGTGGATTGAGGTGCAGGCCACTTCCTCCCCACCCCCACTATCTCCCAACAAAACGAAATAAAAATCAGACCCAGAGAGTGTGAAATAATCGGGATATACGAATGCCGTCAGATAACGATTCTCAAAATCACTGATTGCTGACAGAGGTTCCCCCCCCCGCCCCCCGCCCCGTTCCGCACATTAAGGTAAGAGCTTGATGGAAAAGGAAGGAATCGCTAGTCACGAGTAAGGGGTATGGGCT